AAAGAAAAACCTCTCTTGCCTAGGCATTCACAGAACGCTTGGAGCACTCTGCTTTCTGTACAACCTCCATTGTTCAACTGGCCCAGATATGCTCCTCGCCCGTCTTCCACCCTGCGCTACGAACACATCAAGCATAGCACACAACTGCATTCATCACACCAGTTTCAGCTCGCCCCCACTGAGAACAGAATGATGTACTTTCATCCTTCCCTCAGCATGTTGTGGAGGTCTGGAACCAGCTCCCGCAGTGTGTTCTGCTGAATCCGTGAACAAGGAAAGCATTGCAGATGTTCAAAGATGAACAGGCTACGAACTAAAGGCAAAGGACGAAAATGCTCTAACTCTGTTCCCTCTTCCATTCACTTCTAGACTCTCTCATATTTTACCTACTTTCCCCTTAGTACCCCCCCCCCTGCATTATTTCTGTAATAAATTTATGTTGTTTCTGTGGAGCACTTTATTCTTTCTTTTTTTTACTAGCGAACACAGCCCTTCTCATAATCAGGGGAAGAGGACAACTGAAATTTCACTGGACAGCAAGACAAAGAGGAGCAGGGGCAATGTGCCGATGGGGTTGGCGATGCTCACCCGACCGGAGGTCTCGGAATCATAGTCTACGACCAGGCATCGATAGCAATGCAGCTAGGAAGGGAGGGAGATCAAGAGAGAAAGAGAGAGAGAGTGAGAGTGAGAGTGTGTGAGAGAGAGAGAGAGAGAGAAAGAAAGAGAGAGCGAGGGATAGAGAGAGAGAGAGAGAGAGAGAGAGAGAGAGAGAGAGATAGAAAGAGAAAGAGAGAGAGAGCTACGAGAAAGAGAAATGAAATAAAATAAAACAAGAAAGAGATGATGCACGAAGGTAGTTGACGGGTGACATAGCCTCACAGGGAGTCCACAGCCAAATATTTTGACGCAAGTGGCGGTGGACCTTCGTCTTGAAGGATTGGAGAGACTTCAACTAGGGCATCGGTTCCGGACACATGTCTTGCGGAAGCCTGTTTCATTCATCCACTACACCCTAATTACGGGAACGAATGCTCGAGAAATTGGGGGGGCCGCAAGGAGGACCACTGTTTGTAGCTGATGCTGATTGCGGACATGGTCTTGAAAGCACATTAGCTTGTACATGTATAATAGAGCGTACACTTGGCGGCGGGCAGCTACCCTCTGCAGCAAGGCGTCAGGACCAATGATAGAAAGGGCCTTCCGCTGTGCTCGGCCGAGACTTTGCAGGTGAGAGTTGGCTGCGCCCATCCATGTCAGTGGTGTGAATTCGAGTACAGGGCGTACGAAGCCTCTGTACGTTGTCCAGCGTCCTTCACGACCAAGGAAACTTGATGCTCGACGCAGAAGTCCTAGCCGGGCGACAGCACGATTATAAACATGGCGAAGATGGCGTCTGAAGATGAGTTTGCTGTCGAAAGTCACTCCCAGGAGCTTCAGCTCGTCCCCCCTGGGAATATCATGGGCTCTTAATGTTAGTTCTGGGAGTGGCCAAGCGTTGCGGTGGTGGCCAATATGCAGCAGCTGCGACTTTGTCGGCTCAAAGCGAACCATCCATTGTTCTCCCCAGCTACTCAATCAATCCAGGCTAGATTGCATGTCTGCAATACTGCAAGCAGAGTCATTTCTAGATCGTATGATAATGTACAGCGTGGTGTCATCTGCGTACACACCCATTCGCGTTGATGGGGAAAGACACGTCTCAGCATCGTTGACATACATCAAGAATAAGGTGCGTCCCAGAATGCTGCCTTGGGGTACGCCAGCTTTAATCTGGAATTGAGCAGTCTCCTGTACATTGACGATTGCGCTTAGTGTGCGATTCCGTAGATAGTCCCATAGCCACTGCAGCAGGCCAACGCCAATACCGAGAGTGGCCGCTCTGTGTAGGACGCCAGGGTACGACACGCGGTCAAGCGCAGGACGTGGGCACAGCCACGAGAACCAGCTGCCAGCGACCAGTCATGCCCAAGTACTGCTAGTTGGTCCGCTGTTCTAAGGCCATTGCGAAATCCGTACTGCTTGGTTGACAGGAGATGATGTTTTTCAAGGTGCTTCACAATTTGACAGTTCACAATACGCTCCATCACTTTGGAGATGATGAGGAGGAGGGAGACTGGGCGGTAATTCTAAGGGTTGCATAGTTCATGGGAGCACTCTTTGAGCACTCGGGCAGGGATGTTGTTCCGGACCGGACGCCTTGCCAACGTCGAGCTGGTTCAGGAGGCGTTTCACTGTTTGCAGGCGGAAGTGGATTCTGGTAAGTGGGGTGACCCCGGGTTGCCGAGCATGAGGGAGATTCCCCCAGCCCAAGACATCATCTCCGAGGCTACGTTTATTGGCGAAATAGGGACCAAGATAGTTCGCTTTGGCAGCATTCATACGGAGTTGGTGACCAGTGTCATCCACCAGGCATGGTATAGGCGAGCCGTGACTGGCGCCAGCAGCAAATTTCAGCACTGACCACCATTGCTTGTCTCTGAAGCCTCCGCATGACAGTTTCCGACGAACTCTCAGTTCCCAGGATGTGCGAGCTCGCACATTCACGAGGATAGCATCTTCTACTGCGCTCATAAAGCAAGCCTTGTGGGCTTCGCTGACAATATTGCGTCTCCAGGTCTTTCATGCCTTGCCTTTAGCGTTAAATGCTGTGGTGCACTCAGGAGTCCACCATTTGGGGTCTGCTGGGCGGGTAACAAGCTGCTTGGCAAGGATAAATTTCTGCATCCCGCTGGAGATGACGTCACTTAGCTTCCTGCAGGACTCTTCAGGGTCGTCAGTCGCAATGGTGGACCAGTCAGAAGCGCCCCCTGTCTGCCTGATTGTAGCGCCAGACAGTCCTGGAGGTAGCTTGCTCAGCATCAGGGGTGCGATAAAAGTCGGCAAGAACAACCCCATGGACAGAGCAACCAAGTGGCGCTTTGGCAGTGGTGTCGATAGGAACGGGCATGTTGGAGAGGATGAGGTCCAGGGTGTTCAGACTCCTAGTCGGCTGCAAGACATGCTGGTGGAGTTAAAGCTCAGCACACAGTTCTTCCAAGGCCTTTCCAGCTACAGTTGTTTTGCTGCTGCAGAGCCAAGTCTCTTGATGGACATTAAAATCCCCAGCTAGCACCATGTGAGTGCCATGAGTGCGGGCCATGTATAGTGCAGGTCCAAGATACTCAATCAGACAGGTGTCGTTGTCCGCACAGGATCCAGGTTGAAACAAGACACGGATAACAATATATTGTTGCGTAGAAAGACTCACTGCGAGCCGGAGGACTTCGTGGTCATCAGTGGGAATCTGGTCGGGGTGCACCACTGGGAGGCCGGACTTCACCCATACAGCAATGCCGCCGCCAGATGCATCCCGGTCACGTTGGATGGGAAGCTAGTATCCTGGAAATATCGTCTCAGAGGCTACAGTCTTGGCCGAGAAGTTCGTTTCTGTGATAACTGCTATGTCAACGTTATCGTTGAGCGGTGCATGCTGCCATGCTTCTAGCTTGTTGGTGAGACCAAATGCATTGGTCACTAGCCAGCGGAGCGGCGGAGCTGCACTGATCAATTGGGGGGGGGGGGGGGGTGCCAGCTGATGCCGCACTGTCTATGTAAGCGCTGTCAGCACCATCATGTGTAGGGTCATCTCTCGCAGCGCTGGCAGGGTGTTGTCGGTTGGGCTTCGGACGGTCTCGGTACTCCCATTGCCGGGCGTATAGAGGCCTTGACCAGAAGTCAGGAGTTATCATGAGGCTCAGGTCTGTGGCATCTATACATAGCTGACACCTTTCCCGTCTGCGTTGTGTGGATGCTGTCGTTATGAACACCGGCCGTTGATCCCCTTGCCTCGAGCTTGGGTAGAAATGAAGCCGAGATCCTTTGGCCAGCAAGCAGCCCCTCCCTTTCCTCCGCCCATGCCATTCCGTATATCTCATTGCCGCCTTGCTGCTTTGTGCCGTCAAAACAACGATGTATGTGTTTTGTAAAAACAGTATGATAATAAAGCGCACACATCCGCCAAAATGTGCCGTAAAGTGTTGTTTCGCTTGATGCGCTTGAGTCTCCTTGTCGTCTTGGTCGTCCTCCTAAATGTAATTCACAGTCTACTGTTGGATCATCCTTTTCCGGTGTAGATATGCCAACTTGCTTCTCCCCCTCCACATGTTTGGGGCTAGAGTCAAACCCAGAGAAAGGTGAAAGTTGGAGAAAGGCCCACCCAAAAACCAACCAAACTGTGAAAGGATCTATCAGCGTCACATGAAGCCAAGTGAGAAGACGTACTGAAGAGGACCGACTTACAAAGACAATAGAAGTAATAACAAAAGTGGATGTTTGACAACGTGGAAGACCGTGTAATTAAACCAGAACTTTGAGACTAGAAAAGCTAGAGTGAGAAGCTCCATGAAGAATCATACTGGAAGAGACGCAGCTGAAGGGACAATGAACACCAGGCCATGAGATGGGTACTGTGATGTCACGCAGAGGAGAGATGACAGGACACTGGAGGGGATAAGAAAGAAATGAGCCCAGAGTGGTACTTCATCTATCTAAAGCCATCTGTACACGTATGCTAATTGTCGGGAGTTGTACTGTAATGACGTTTGCTCGATACTGTCACGTGGTAGAGGTCGATAGCATTCGGCTGTGTTAGAAGCGTTGTACAAACTTAAGTTTGATCCTATGCTTTGTTTCCAGAAAGAAAATGTTGTCTGTACAATTTTTTGATGCTATTCCTCGTCGATGTGTGAATAATGCTACATAATTTCTTCACTACGCTGTTGATGTTACGTTGAGTCTGAAGAAGGTCAACTGACGACATCTTCTCCAGACATTACAACGGACAACGGGAACAAGTTATTGGGAATGACATTTATTATAGACGACGAGACAAGAGACCAAGACGAACGGAACAACTACATTGATGAAGTGTGAGAAAGCGAGATTATTGAAGAGAGCGAGATTATTGAAGAAAGAGAGATCGACTGGGAAACAACGCAATATAAAGGGCATGGGTAGCTATGGCAAACATGGGCGCGCAAGTAGCTACCCAGGTCGATGGAACGAAACGTGAGTATGACGTAGTATGGGTGCATGCAGACTGGCAAGCTTAGGAACCGCTCACAACCTTGTGTTGCAAAATCAGAGCACATAAAAGATAGCCTGCATAAATGCCCGCCTTTGCATTTCTGCTGCAAAGTCAATCCACCGTCAGCGTCTTCGAGCTCGACTGCAAGCAGTTTGTGCTATCGATAAAGAGTGGTGGAAAACTCTGAAACAAGCCAGTGGCCATGGACGCAACTCTGGCATACCTACTATCATCGATCGTGATGGCAATTAACACTCCACCAATAGTAGCAAAGCTGAAGCGTTTGGAAAGTATTTTGCTGGGAAATGCTCTCTTGTGGATAATTTCGAGAATGAGCCTAAGTCTAACGCCCCCTTGCACCAAGTGCATTTCAGGGAACCAGCTGTAGCCCGAGCCCAAAGCAATAGGACTTGACAACATCCCAGCTTGTGTGCTCAAGACGTGTGCAAACGAGCTTGCTGCCCCCCCCCCCCCCTACCATACCTCTTTGCCACGTGTTTCTCTATTGGAAGACAACCGGCAGACTGGAAAGAGGCCAGAATAGTTCCAGTTCACAAGAAGAACTCCCGATTACCCATCAGCCACTACCGACCAGTGTCCCTACTCAACAATTACTCAAAGGTAATGGAAGGCATTGTGAACTTCGCAATCATGAACTTTCTAGTTAGCCATAATGTTCTGTCTGCAAAGCAATATGGATTCCGCCGACGCCTTGGAACTGCAGATGTCCTGACGCTCCTACATCATCTATGTCGTAGAGCTGCCGGTTCGGGAGTCTTAGCCCATGTTCTTGCAATAGACATAGCTGGAGCATTTGATAAGGTGTCCCACAAAGGTGTGATTTACAAGGCTGCTGTCTATGGGCTCAGGGGCCCCCTTTTAACTTAGTTGACCAACTATCTATCAGCTCGGCATCTCCCTGCAGTCGTATCTGGCCATGATTCTTATGTCTTTCCCATTACCGCTGGTGTTCCTCAAGGAGGTATATTGGGGCCTACCCTGTTCTTGTTAAATGTGAATGACAGTGACACTACTCTCGGAGAGGGCGTAGATCCCGCTGTCTATGCGGATGACACCACACTGTATCAGTGTCTCGCAGTGCGCGCAGACGTGACTGATTGAAGCCATATTTTGCTGCATGCAGTGGATGACCTGTCCGCCTGGGGCAAAGCCTGGAAGATCTCATTTGAGCCCACCAGATTCCAGGCCCTCAACATCGATCACCATCGGCCACGTCGGCAGCTCCCAGCCATCTCTTTCGATGGAGCACCAGTTGTGGAGGAAGCAGAGCTCAAGCTCCTAGGAGTCCAGTTCGACACACAGTTGTCTTTCTACCAGCATTTGCGCTCTGAAGCCGTACGTGCGCGCCAGCGGTTACACTTCCTGAACAGAGCTGCCCCCATCCTTGATGTTCGTGGAAGAGAGCGAGTCTACAAAGGCTTGGTCAGACCAGTAATGGATTACTGCCCGTTGGTCTGGATGGGGGCTGCCACTACAACTCTTCGCCAGCTCGATTCAGTTCAGTTACGAGCTCTCAAGATCATCTCTCGTGGGTCATGGCTTCCAAGTCTGGCCCTCCGCCATGCTGTAGCTGCTCACAAGTACTTATACAAGCTCCAGTGCCTCCCAACTAGCTCTCCACTGCGAGCAATGATCCCTGCCGTTGCACCAGAGCTGCAAGGGCATCCTCGCACTAATCAGCAGAGCCGGATTTGCCATGAATTGCAGTTTGCCATGCCCCGCAACCGTCACTCACGCAGCAGCGCACAGCGATCATTTCCGTCCGCCATCGTTGAGGACTGGAATCGCCTTCCTCCAGAGCTCATCACAGCACCACTAACTCTACATCGCCTCCAGCAGTTCAAAGAAGGCGTTCATAAGTATCTGCAATCTGCTGACTGGCATTGGGCCTCTACGCACCTGTGATCTGTGTGTGTGTTCGTGTGTGTGCGTGCGTGTTTGTGTGCGTGTGTGCATAGTGTGTGTGTGTGTGTGCGTGTGTGTATAGTGTGTGGTTGTGTGTGTGTATAGTACGTGTGTGTATGTGTGTGTGTGTGTGTGGCTGTTCCTGGGTGTGTGTGTGTCTGTGCGCACGCGTGCATGTGTGCATGATTTCGGATGCCGGCTGCTGGGCGTATGCAGTCAATGTATGGTGTACCTGAACCTCAACTTTTTTCCTCCCATTGAACAACTTTCCGTGACCGTGCTGCCACCCTTATTTCACATTTGCTCTGTTGTGCTCCTGCTCATTTTTTCTATTTTCGTATTTTTCTGTTTGACGCGCATCAGCAGTGCTAAGGCAGAGACCCCTGGTCAGTTTAGCTGCTCTTGCCCCGCCTCCACTGCTTCAGCTGCCATCGCTATGTGCATCTCTGTGCGTTTTTGCCGGCGGTTGCACCATGATGATTTGTGGTTATCTTGTAAAAAAAGTGTGTGTTTGTGTGTGTGTGTGTGTGTGTTTGTGTGTGTGTGTGTGTGTTTGTGTGTGTATGTGTTATCCCATCACTAGTTGCTGTGTCTAACGTAGCTGTTCTTTACCATTGCTTCTGCGATGGGCAGGTCTGAGATCTGGGATCTGAGGTGTGTGTGTGTGTTTATGTGTGTGTTTTTGGATGTGTGTGTGTGTGTGTGTGTGTGTGTGTGTGTGTGTGTGTGTGTGTGTGCATGAGTGTGTGTGTGCATGCATGTGTGAGTGTGCATCAACATGTGTATGAATGTGGGTATGTTTGTACATGTCTTGTCTTTAATTTTCTGCTACTTCCAGGATGGTAAAACACCATTACATAATGCAACAAAGCAAGGTCATGTTTCTGCAGTAGAATATCTTCTCACTTCTGGACATTCGTTGGAACCAAAGAATAATGTAAGTCAGATTATCCCTGATGCATGCTCGTTTTTATGAGCAGAAAGAAGAATTACGCAGTTGAACACTTTTTTGGGAGAAAACTTCCGTGCCTTCTCTTCATGTTGTGACATACCTTCTCCCATACATTCCTTCCTCATAAACAAGGTAATATAGCGGCATGAGCAAATGGGAGCAAGAACAATGCATTATGTATAGGCATGATGTATATTGGTCACGTATTAATCATCGTTGTTTTTAGCTATTCTGCTTTGACCTGGTGTTATCACTACATTGCTGTACATAATATATTGTGAAAAAGGAGAAGGACAAAATGTTTCGAGTTATGACTAACTGTCATAAAAATTGATAAAAAAATTGCATAGTGGGAGCAATGCGATGATAAGGCATTTTTGACCTCAGCCAACCTGAGGTCTCGACGTCGTGGGGACATAAAACACACCAAAAAGAAAGAAGAGGAAACAATAAAGGAGTGACAGGTACATGATACAAAATGTTAGGAGGAGAAACAGGACATTTCAAGGAGGAAAAGATCACACAGCCAGTTTTAGGTAGAGAATGAGATCAAAGAAGAACAGTTGTTATTGAGAGGAGTATTTGGAGCGGAATTTTCAAGTCATGGGGTGGGGCAGATATGATTCTGATACTCAGAGATGGTCATGTGCCCACGACCAGTCGTTGGTCTTCAAAGAATGGTTGGCTGCAACCTTAAAATGTTGCAAGTACTTGGTGCAGAATGGACCAGAGAAGACTCCGGCGGGCAGCTGGTTGCAGACCCGGACAACTGCGTGAGGGTAGGCTCGGCACACGTTGTTTCGGGAATAGACTGGAAGTTCATTTGCCAGTTGGTGTGCATGGTCATTACATCTCTAAATTGCGCTACGGGTGGAGTGGACTGTTTGGTGTTGGGGTTGGTGGGGTGGCAGCATCCTCTGTAGATGGGGATGTGCATCTGGACAATCCATCTTGTACAGGAGGCAAAGTGTTGCAACCATCAGACAAAGAGCAAGACTTGGTAGCCAAAACATTGGGGCGGGCTTGCACACGGTCGACTCTTGCAAGATGGGATGGGGCTGCTAACATCCAGACGATGGTGCAGTACTCCATCACTGGGCGCACAAAGGGATTGTAGGCTTGGTTGCGACCGGGCACGTCTAAAAGGTGGAAAGCCTAACAGAAAGCGCCAAGTCGCTGTGTTGCCCGGAGGGCTACGATACGAAGGTGGTGGCGAAAGGCAAGCTGACCATCAAAACTGACGCCTAAGATTTTGAGCTCCTCTTGTTCCCTCAGGTCAGATCCGTTGAAATCAATCTGTGGCATGTTCCATTGGGTTCGGTGGAAGCTAATATTCAGTGCTTGGGGTTTGGCTGGTTCATATTTCTATCTTCCATTCTTGACTTCAGAGGGAGATGTTGTTGACTGCTAGCTGATGGGCTTGGATGGTATCTTGTTGGATGGTGGAAGTGATGTTGGCATGCAGTGTAGTGTCGTCTGCGAATAAGGCTAGGTCAGCACCGGCTGGTACATGGTCCTCGCAGTTGTTCATGTATATGAGGAAGAGAGTCGCACCCAGAATACTGCCCTGGGGGACTCCAGTCTGAATTGGGATGTCTGGCCACAAATGACCATTTGAAGGTAGCATTAAATGAGGTAGCTGCTGAGCCACTGGTGCCGTCGCCCACGTAGGCCGTATACGTTGTACTTGTGTAGCTCACCGGGGTGTGTTACGCGATCAAACGCGCCGGCTATGTCAATGGTGAGTATGCGTGCTGGGCCCTTCTCCCCGGCTGTATGCAGCCACTGGTTGTGGATGCTGGAGAGAAGGTCGGCTGCACTATGGCCATGGCGAAATCCAAACTGTCTTGCGGAGAAGACGTTGTTCGACTCGAGGAAATTAGTTATTGTTCTGTTGATGATTGTCTCCATCACTTTGGACAGAATACACAAGAGCGAAACTGGACGGTAATTGGAGGGTAGAGGCTTTGATTTCCGTTTGAATTTAGGGACTATGTTGGCAATATTCCATGTCTTGGGCTGTATCCCAGTTTGGAAGCATTGTGTGAACAGTGTAGAAAGAGGTTGTTCCAGTTCAGCAGAGCAGGTTTTCAACACTCGTGCCGGTATCCCATCTGGCCCGTTAGTCTTTGATGGGTTGAACTGCCAACGGGTGCGCTCAACAGCAGTCACACAGAAACGGCCATCCGAAAGAGCCTGTTCATTTCGAAGTCTGACATATAGGAATGGGGCTGACAGGTCATCTTGGCCAAGACTGCATTTACTTCCAAAATAGCGGGTCATGCATTCTGCTTTGTCTGCGCCGGCTGTGTACTCACGTCCATCGGGATCACGTAATGTCGGACCGGATTGACGACGCCCATTGCCAGAGGCACACTTGACGGTGTGCAACCAGTCACTGGGTGTCAGCTGCTTTGAGGTCATTTTCTGTCTCAGTTTCGCAATGAAAGCACTCTTCGCAGTTTTGAGACAGGCAACCGTTGAGAGCCTAGCATCTTGGTAAGCTGACTGTCGATCGTCGTCAGACGGGTCATCTCTCAGGTATCTCCATGCACGTCATTTTCTCACTGTGGCAGCAGTGCACTAAGGGGTCCACTATGGAGGATCGAATGCACAGGTTTTCAGGGTATTAGAGGTGATGAATCTCTTCATACCCTCCAGGATCCTCTCTGAGATGCCAGTGCATGACAGGTCTGGATCAGACCAAGCAATAGCTGCCCAATTGGTGGTTCTGACCAAGTGACGGAGCCTGGCCCAATCTGAATGCTGATACCTCCATACAGTTCTTGATATGGGAGGCTCGCGTGATGCACGGATCTGGAAGTCGGCAAGTAGACAGGCATTGTCAGATTTGCCAAGAGGTGGCAAAACAGGCACAAATGATTCCACGGGTAGGTCGGTCATCATCTGGTGCAGTGTGTTGAAGCTGTGCGGTGGTTCGTCGATCAGCTGTTCAACACAGTGCATGTAGCACGTGTCCTACGCATGCTCGACACCTCTGGTTGTTCTGCTACTCTGGAGCCACTCATTGAAGTCCCAGCAACTATCATAGCAGAGTTGCGGCAAAAATGGCACCAAACTGACGAGGAGTACTGAGACATTCGGCGACCTGACTCCTAGCTCCAACACTTCTCCAAGGCGCACAAACCAACAACCTTTCAACTTGGAAGGCTCAGGTTCGGAAAGGACCAAGAGGGGAAGGAAAGCGCAACGAAGAAGAGCACGAGCTACGCGCCACGGCAACAAAGAATGCCAAATTTTACTGGATGATGACGAAACTAGTAAGACTATTGGACATACCGGCCTTACTACAACTCGACGACGCAACAAACCACCCAACTTGGGAGGCTCACGTTTATGTGGAAAACAAAGAAAGGGGAAGCTAAGCGAAGACGAATTGTGACAAACCAAAACGTCAACATGTGTGATCTGTAAGCGCTTGGTCCGCCCGGGAACAAACCATTTTGGCTCGCCCCATCCAACAGGGTGGCCATCGCCTAATCGGAGAGGAACTGTACATTTGCCTCCTGTTTTGTCCAGATGCACATCGCTTTCTACAGAGGATGTTTCCACCCCAGCAGCTCGAATCCCAAACAGTCCACTCCACCTGTAGTGCGTTTCAAAGATGTAACGCCCACGCACATCAACTGGTAAAATGAACTTCCAGTCCCTTCCCGAAACAACCTGTGTCGAGTCTACCCTCGCGGAGTTTTCCCCGTCTGGAACCAGCTGCCCGCCGGAGTCTTCTCTTGTCCATTTTGCACCAAGAACTTGCAACATTTCAAAGTTGCAGCCAACCGCTGTTTGAAGAACAACGACTGATCGTGGGCACATGATCATCTCTGAGTATCAGCATCATATCTGCCTCACCCCAAGATTTTCAAATTCCGCTCCATGTACTCATTCCAATAACGTGTTTCCTTCTTTTCTCTCCTTCTCCTCCTAACACTCTCTCTCTGTCTTATCTTTCCCCTCCTTCTAATGTACTGTCTCTCCTCCTAACATTTATTGTCATATACCTGTCACTTCTTTCATTTTTTCTTCTTCT